AAATTTTGAGTGAAGATTAGAAGAGAGGTCCTTACCTCTAGGCCCAGGTGTCTTGGACAGATAGCCTAACCCACAGGGGAAAATAAGGCCTGATAATATGTATTTAATTTCTTCTTTTAATCATGGGCAGAAATGTCTCAACAAACCAATACAATTGTTTATTCAACAAAGGGGCTGCTATAAAATATTACATAATTTTGATCCAAATACTTCCAAAATTGGCCCAATACCACCAGTGTCTATTCCCTTACTTATCGGTTTATATCATGACAATGTTTTTAGTCGAGTAGAATATTTATTATCACTAAATAATTTTAAATGGATAGAATCTAAATATTATATAGCACATATGGACATAATTTATGTTGAAAAATATAAATAAAAATGTCATAAATATATGTAGAAATATATACATTAAGGACACTAATATATCTAATCCAGGTATAAGCAAATAATAAATACATTAATATTTCTACCAGGAAAGAAAGGATGTAAAGAGATTTGAACAAAAATACTGTTAAACAAATCATGGAAGGGTCATCATGTACTCAATTTTAATTTTCTTCTTATTTAAAATTTTCAAGAACCTAGTAAGTCACAAGAAATGCCTATATTAGTACATTTCTGCTTAGTATATCAGGAACCACAGCAGAAAATAAATTACTGCTATGTGCCAATATTACATCATAAAAATAAGCAAAGGGGAGGGAAAGGGGGGTGAAAATATAGTTACTATCACTAGCAAAAAAAAGAGAATTTGAAAAGGAAATACCTAGATACCATATCCTCAGAATTGTGTCCATTTATAAAGGCCAAGCTGAAATAATGGCATTTTCATTTTCTTTTCTATCTCTCTTTCTCTCTGTCGATCTCTCTCTCATTATGAAGGGTGGGTACAAACTGTATTTTACTTCCAGTGAGTTTTAAGTTCAAAACCCATAAAGGCCAGTTTTCTCCATTCTGCTTCATGGCCAAAGGCTGTACATTGAACAACATATCCAATTGAGTCTCAACTTATCACAAGGAAGGTCAATTTTAAAAAATAATCATTTTTCATATATGAAAAATATAATACCATTAGCTATTTCAGGAGGTTTGGGATATATTAGGATAAATATGAGATTTTATCAAATGATGTAGGTACAATATATCATTCTGCTTCATGGCCAAAGGCTGTACCTTGAACAACATATCCAATTGAGTCTCAAATCCATACAACTTATCATGAGGAAGGTCAATTTTAAAAAAAATAATCATTTTTTATATATGAAAAATATAATACCATTAGCTATTTCGGGAGGTTTGGGATATATTAGGATAAATGAGATTTTATCAAATGATGTAGGTACAATATAAATGATGTACAATATTTTTTAGCATTTGAGAGCCCCAATAAAAATAAATTAAGATCCTAGAATGCCAGAGGGGGCATCTGTAGACATTTCAAACTGGGCTGTGCCTGGGTTAGTCATACAATTTTTAAGTACCCACGGATGAAATTACTTAATTTTAAGCAATTGCCCATCAGTCGCTTGAAATAAATAACAGAGCTTTAAACTTAATGATGAGCTTCCACATATACTAGTATAACTGTGAATGCCTAAACCTATGAGAGCTTAATCTTTTCACATTTTCTGTCAGAGACAAGAAAAATTTGACACTTTTGTAGAGCTCACCAGTCAGAAAAGAAGACCCTGGACTATGTAAGAATCGATTATTCTGTTCGGTATGTAAGAGATTGTAACTATGCTTAATCTTTTGACATTTTCTGTCAGCGACAAGAAAAATTTGACACTTTTGTAGATCTAACCAGTCAGAAAAGAAGACTCTGGACTATGTAAGAATCAATTATTCTGTTCGGTATGTAAGAGATTGTAACTATTCCCAGAGGTGTCGTTTACGATTCACTTCACCAAACACTCCCTTACTCCACTGAAAAACTCTACTTATAGCATCGCCTTGCAAAATTAATCAGAAGTCACTTAAAACATTTTCTCTGAACTAGAATAAAATATCTTTGAGAACATGCTGATAAAAATGTCTTACTATTTTGTGGTATTCTGGTTTTCTGGGTGCAGGGCGAGACATAGTGCTTGATAGATGAAGAGTGGGATCTTCGGTTTCTTTCCTTTGGCTTTGTTTTGTGTTTGCAAGTCCCCCCTCGCTTTGAGACACAAGTGCTACCTGCGTACTCCACTGCTTTTGCTTCTTGCTGCACTGAAGAGGACAGTCGTAAACAGGACTCTGCTGTAGCTGGTACTTTCCCAGCCATCAAGTAAGTACAGCTCCACTTGTGAGGGTGAGTTGTAATCTAGAGGCATGAAAGCTGAGAGTAGGAAGTCAGACCAGAAGCACCATCTACTGAAAATTCTTTAGCCCAAGGGAGTATGAGAGTGGTGTTTTGCTCTCATGCCAAGGCATTGTTTTAAAATCACAAACAGAAACCCTCACAATCCAAGATAGATCTAAAGGTTAGCATTATTCAGTCTTTGTATTGATTGTTGTGTGAACTCAAGACAGGATCAGCAATCTATAGGCACTAAATCCTGGGTTCAGACCTAATCAACTCTAATGGGTATCACATTAGCCCCCAAAGAATGGGTATCATAGACCCCATCTGGTGTGATTAGAAAATTTAAATTTACCTGGTAACTTTTTACCCAGAACTAGCAATTTGAAGGAGTGATAGAATTTGGGGTGCTGATATTTTCTTATAAAACTGTTGCTCAAAATGACTGCTCTACACTTTAATAATGTATGATGAGCCTGGCAGAGAGAGCAAGCCCTTAGCTTCCTTTCAATAGTCCCTGAGATGTTGGCTATTGAAAGCTCTTTATTTACGCACAAGTATAGTTAAAGTTGAAACACGAATCCCTCTCATCTTGGCAACTGCAGGGTGTGGAGGATCAAAACGTTTCCAGAAATAAAAGCATACAACTCAATTTAAGAAAGTAGTCTCCTACTTCATACAGCTTGAGTCAATTAGCCCTATGTGTTCTGGAGAATTCTTGCTATAAAGTGGCAGACTACTGACGACTTTGAAGACGAGCATGGCATAGTTGAAAGAGCCTCGGAAGGTTTGGGAGGCTCAGGCTAAGCTGCAGTTCTACCATTTACTGGCTCTTTGACGTGGGCAAGCCATTTTATTGCTCTCCGGCTCAGTTTCCACATCTGCGAATGGCAGTAATAATGCCCACCTCACAGAATAATTGTGAGTATCAAAGAGATAATGTACACTATAAAGCACATTACAATGCACTTTATAAGCAATAATTACTAAAGATTATTCTTGAAGTTGAATATCTTGAATGGGATTCTACAATATTTAAGGTATTTCCATTAATGCCTTTGTTCTATGACCCCATTCTCAGGAAAATCAGTTTTGCTGGGTTGTACGGTATGGGGAGCTTTTCAGTAGCAGTTCAATAGCACCTATATTTATGTAAACTTTACAGTTTACAACATGGTTTTAATTTTCTTTATCTCATTTTCATTCAACTACAGTCTGAGTAGTTAGCATGGTAATTAATACCATGTTATAGGATAGGCAGCTAAGTCAGAGAGGTTAGGAATTTTTTTCAATGTTAGCTCAGTAGTAGGCAACAAAGAGTGACTTAGGCTAAATTTGCTGATTCCAAATATAAAAGCCTTTTTTTCCCCCTGAACACACTGTAACTACATTACAAAAATATTTTAGGGATAGATTCACAAAAGCTACTAAGTTATGGTGACAGCATGTTGATGGGCCCAGTATGGGGCAATTCTGGCTTCTGCATGAGAGACCCCTGAAAAAAAGCATAGAAAAGTTTTGTGTGCTTGGTGAGAGGGGAGAGATCATAGACCCCATCTTGTGTGATTAGAAATCAATTTCACAAAACTCTAAAGGTGTGGTATGGTGACATCAGGGCCACCATGAGAATGGACATCGTGATGAAGCACTGCGCTTCCTGCAGCAGGACCGCAGGGTTTCAGGCAGGTCCCTGCCAGCCTATTGTACAAAAGCACAGTCTGCACAAGCTCAGAGGTAGGCATGGCCTCCAGGGCAGTGGTTTGCTGGTTTCAGGCTGTGCAATGCAGTTGCTGTAATAAGTGCAAATGGCACCAGGTGTCAGACCAGTGGGGGT